TTTCCAAGAAACCGAGATGTCTCTTTTAACTGAGTCCATCTGCCATAAGTGATAACCAGATGTCTGTGTGACGATTCAAAATTAAAACAAAAGTCCTTCCCCCTCCCAAGACCTAAGAGCAGAGATGAGTCCAACAGGCAGCATTACAAAGCGTTTCAATGTTTTAACAGCCTCTGAATGAAAGAGACAAAGCGGCTCCCCTTTAAGGTACCATCCCAGCAAGCACCAGCCAGCATCTCTTCAGCTAACTTCGCACCATGCTAAGTGCTTTACACTTCCTTATCACAGCAACCCTGTGAGGTGGTACTAGCATTAACCCCATTTTACAGATAAGAAACTGGGGAATGGAGGCAGTGGAAACACTTGCTCAAGGCCATCCCGCTATTAAGCATCATCGCCACCACACTGAACACAGGCAGCCTGTATCCAGAGTCCCTGTAAGCGCCATACAAACCCTAGTCTCAAGAAAGTATAGCAGATTTTGATCAAAACTGATTTTACAATGAAAACTGTAATTTATCAGAAGGAAGAAAGTGAATGCCTGATTCTCTGAAACCATGTCATTAATAAAAACAAATTCTGACTTCTTTAAAAATGTTCTGAGTTCTCACCTACTGAATTACAAAAAAGTGTATCATGTACCAGCGTCTATGGACAGCAGTCTATGATCGTAACGATGACAAAGTACCAAGAGTCATCCACAGAGGTCCTGAGAAAACCGTCCATGAAGATGCAATCTGATTTTCAGTATTCTTTCTTGACAGATGAATACTGCATGGTCAAAGTCGCCAAAGTTTTATGGTGCATTTTTTGGGGGTGAAATTTTAAACAGCTTCATTATGGACTCACACATGAAGGCTGACTTGAACTGTCCCAGAATTCACCTTAGTATATTGGGGTTTTTGTTTTTTAGTATTTAGTGGGATTCCCCAGCAGCACACTTCGCATTACAAAACAAGCCATTTAAACCAAATTGTGAATTTTATCGCCTGTTGATAACTACATGAAAAGACCAGATGGGTACAATTTTTGATACGACCTGATTTCTTTCTACTAATGACACAGTTCCGGAATCTTGTTTTTTCACAACTATACAAACATACTCACTCCATTTTTCTTCTAAATCAAAGGTTGTGTCACAATACAAGAATCAAATTTGTCTACACGGCCTGGGAAGACCGCAGATAAATATACTCTTTTACCCTTTTGAAATTACTCAAAGTGACAGTCACGGGACAAGAGCAAATACTGTATCAACTCAAAGCAGTGAACCATTATTTTTATTATTTGAATTGGTCAGAAAAAAAAAGCCCTAATCAAGTTTGAGAAATTTTGTTCCTTAGAATATACAGCCAATATAAAAGTTTAATTTTAGGCATCAGGATTAGATTCCTAATTAGATTAGATGTCTAAAGGTTCCCTTCATCTACTAGATACGTCACTGAAAGGAAAGAAATAAAATATGTATATCCTTTAATTAATGTTCATCTTCAAAACACACACACACACACACAAACATACAACAGGATGGCCATTTATAGTCCTGATCCCCAAGGAACTTCTGATTTACCAGGCATGATGAAATCCATACACCAGTAAGTAGACCACTAGGAAGCATGTAATAAAGGATTTAAAATTCAGATTTGTGTTTGTCACATTCTGGTGTCATTTCCCTGCTATCTACAAGTGCACAAAATGCGCCTGATGAGAGACACCTTTAATCCAGCTTTATACACCTGACCGTGGCATCAGATGTATTAAAGATACAAAAAACACGGGTATAAATTGCAGGAAATCTTTATTTATTAATTCAAATACCACAATACAGCTAAATTGCCGAAGCACTACCAGTTTTGAGAACATTGTGGAAACATTCTACTATTATCAATTCTAAAATCCACTTAAACTTTATTTTTCATAACAATAATTATTCATCACATGGGCTATGATGCAACAGAAAGAAATCAATCACTAGGTAATTATAGGCCTCCTTCACCAAAAAACAGCACTGATACCCACCTTAACTAAATTATACAGTATTTGCTGATTTTTAAATAATGTGCCACATCCATGCTAAGAAAGAACTCTCTCCAGGAGTTTTCAGCTGTAAATTTTCTATTTATTCATTCTACTTTATAGCAAATTCTATACATTCTAAATATATATATCTACAAAAATTTTGATATGACAACTTCCCACTTATGAAAAAAAACTGTGGGATTCACTTAGTTTTGCCCTCTAATTTGGCAAAGCATAATTTCAGTCAAGTACTCAGATGCAAAACGATCTGAAAAGCTGGATGTTAAGACAAGGTTTTTAGAGTACAAATTATGAAAATCTAAGGTTCAATTAAAAACACAGAGCAGGCTGTACTATATCTTTTATCTTTTTTTTTTTTTTAAGTGACTACATCTTCAATTACAGTGTTACCACCTGGACTTCTGTAACACCTTTTATTCCTAAAAGTTCAAATATTTTTACATGCCTTATTTCAGTACAGTTTTCATTCTCAGCTTAAGGCTCTTACCTGTTATATTGTACAACCAACAGTTGTTGGTTCAGAATGAATACAGAACATCTGACATGAACACTCCATTCTCAATATAAGCAGAGGGATACAGAAGGAAAATGTAACAGACAAAGTAATATTAATGAAAAGGATACATAGGCCAAGGATATATGTTGGAAACTCCCTAAGAAACAGAAATAATACAAATAGTATAAGGAATCATTTTTGATTGGGACATGATTAGGTCAAGAGAGGAACCAAGACAACAGGAAATGTTGCGAGTACTGGAGCAGACGGCAGGGAGAGCAGGGACTGTTAACAAAGGTAGAGGCTTGGGCTTAAATCCTTTTCCTCAAACATAGAAGGGGTAAAGGAAAGAGGCAGCAGCAATTAAGATCTACATGAAGTGAGTGTGACGGCAGCCCTGAGGCAGAGGGAACTCACTGAATCTCACATGAAAAGAGAACATCCTCCAGCACCTCAAGTGCCATCATCCCCCAGCACAACCTCACACAAGAGAGTAAGCCAAAGTCCTTGACTCACTAATCTACAGACGACAATATTAGGTTTTTCTTCTCAAGAGGTTTAAAATGCAATTTTAAGTTTCCCAATGTTTATACTTCCGGGGCTTCCCAGGTGGTGCCAGTTGTGAAGAATCTGCCTACCAATGCAAGATGCAGGTTCGATCCCTGGGTTGGGAGGATCCTCTGGATGAGAGCAGGCAACCCACTCCAGTATTCTTGCCTAGAGAATCCCATGGACAGAGGAGCCTGGCAGGGCGCAGTCCAAAGGGTTGTGAAGAGTCAGACACCACCGAAGCAACTTAACACATACACAATATTTGTATTTCGTGTCTTGTTAAAGGTATCTGCCCACCTCTTTGCACATATATGAAATCGGTTTAACAAGAGAAGCTGCACCTCAATTCCTTGAAAATACCCAAGTCAAAAACTCTATTCTGACATCAACCAATCAAGAGCACAGAGCAGCAGATCGTAACAGTCTCCGAGACTGATTTTGAGGGCAGAGTACAAAAGCAGGGGTCTGGGGGAGCAGGATGAAATGTTTTTGTTTAAGACAAGTCAGACTTAGGGGAAAAGTAAGAGGGGAAAAAAATTAAGGGACAAACGGAAACCGTGGCTGACATCATTGCTTCTGTGATTTATCAATTTTCTTTTCATCTTTAATCTTCAACTAAAGAGCTTTGTTCCCGCTGGACACAAAAATAGTATTACTGTAGCATGCATATATGGCCATGTTGGCATGCCACAAGAAAACCTCATTTACTGACCTAGAAAGGTTTGGGAAGCATAAAACCATTAAACAGAGGCCTAAGGCCTAAAGAAATGGCACAAACTGGTAAGCAACATATCAGCTGCGAATAATTCAACTACAGAGTGATGATAAAAGTCCTTTTCGACTTAACTGTCATTTTTTCAAACTTTCCAAGACTGCAGATTATGCTAGAATAGCTAAACCTTCTCATATTTCTCTTTTCCAATCTTCCCAGGGAAAATGTCATTCTTTCTGCAAACAAAAAATCACACCAAGCTTGTTTCCTTCTTTCCTTGAGCCAATTTTAAGTCACTCTCCTTAACCCTAAATACACAAGCCCACGCTGGTCAACTGCCAGTGTCTCTCCAGAACTGCGGGTGACAGATGCAGTCAGAGAGCTCACAGCCGTGGATTGGCTGTGGTCTGAATCCTATTGCAATGAACACACTGACAGAGTCCGCAGAAGCACATCTCGGCAGAAGGAGAGAGTTTAAAAACCGTCATTTCCAATCGAATTTACTTTTAGATTTCTTACTGGCTATTATGCTCCTACCCCGGTTCTCAACCTAGCTTAGCCCTACGTCCTACCCATTTTATCCTCCTCAGTTCCAGATCCTTCATCAAGCCTAATTCTGGTTAATACTACTACTACAAAAAAAAAAAAAAAGGCGGGGGGGGGGGGAGGGTGCTGCAAGCATTGCCAAAAGTAGGAACCGACCAAGGTGCTATTTGGGAGCGTTCCCGTCGCGGCCGAAGCCGCAGGAAGTTTTCTGGGAAGCAACGGACCCCTTTAGCATCTCTGCACGATCTCTCTTCCCCTGGGTGAGGGCTCCACAGAGAACGATGGGGAATCTCCCTTCTCCAGTCTTTCCCCGCGGTGGCTAACCCAGAAAATAAAAATATCTCCTTTCTCAGCCTACACGCCTCCGGATAACGTTCTCAGGCAGTGACGCCCCACCCCCACCCCGTTATCCCAGACGAGATCCCCAAATATCACCCCGTCCTCCTAAAAGCTGGACCCTCCCTCGGCCGCTGGACCAATTTCCCGCATCGGAGGTCCTCTCCCCCCCGCCCCGGCATCCGCCCCCGCACACTCCACCAGCAGCACGGCCGCGGCTCCGTACAAGCCCGCCCGGCGCCAAGACGCCCCGCAGCCGGCACCCGGGCAGCCCCGAAGCCCGCGCTACCCCCCGCCCAGGGTCGTCGACCGGGTTACCGTGGGAAGAGCGGGCGGCGGCAGAGGACGCGGCGGCAGCGCTGCTGCCGGTTGCGGCGGACGCGAAGGATAAGCTGGAGGATAAGGATGATGATGAGGCGAGCGCGCTCCCCAGTCTCCATGGAACTCCCGCCCCGGCCGGTTGCTAGGAGCCCCCAAGGCTCGGGCTCCGTCTTTCGTGCTTTGTTGTTCCGGGTACAGGGCGGCCGCTGCTTCCCCGCGACAATAAATAGACCAGAGGCGGGGGAGCATAGAGACAACGCGCGGCGGCTAGAGCGCCGCCGGACAGGGCCCTCCTGAGTTCCTCGCTAGCCAGTCATATCCGGCTCTCACTGCTCCCGTCACTTTCCCCCGCCCCTTCCTCCACTTTCCCTTCCTCCTTCCTGGTGTCCGGGTCGGGTCGGCCAGGCCTGCCTAGGGGCTTGACGGGGTGGGGCTCGTGGGGAAAGGTGTGGGCTAGGCTAGACTTCTTTTGCTTGAGAACCGTTTGGAAAGATTTCGAAAAAACTGTGTATCCCTTGTACATTTTTAGCTAGTAGTTACACATGAGTACGTAATTTCTGGCATGCAGTGTAATATAAACGGACTTTTAGGTTTTTTATTTTGAGGGGTGGGGGTGGAGGGGGGCAAAACCCTCCACTTCTGTTAGCCCATTCAATTCATAGAAAAGGTCCACCATTCAATATAATTAGCGAAGCTGGTCCTCAACAACTAAAAATTGTTTTCTAATTCTGACGAATACATTTTCTGTCTTGAAAAAGTCCGACTTCGCTTTTTCGGTTAAAACAAACGCGTTAATTTACGTGATCAAGCTCTCGTGAAGGAATGCTAATCCTAGTCCTAAAATACAGTGATAGGATATGATAGGTAAAAGAATGGATAGATGGATGGATGGATGGATGATAGATAATGCAGGAGGGTTAGGTCACATTTCTGTCGCCTGTCCGTTTGGTATTCCATACTCAACTTGGGTTTGCGGTCAGGACTCTGCCTTGGAAGCCGGGAGGCACTTGAGAGGCTTTTAAGCCGCGTGGCCGGATCCAAGGGTGGGAGGAGGGAAGAGGGCGGCTGCACGCTGGGACCGGGGTGCTGGGCAGGGGCGGCGGCGGCTCTGCTCACACGGAAGCCGAAGCCGGGCGCCTGAGGACTGAGACCCTTCTGCAGCTTCGCGCCCAAGTGGTCCTGGGATGACCCGGGGGACTCCGAGACGCGCACACTTCGCCAGTTTGAACGGCCGCGCTTGGGCCCTCGGGGCCCCGCCGGGGCCGCTTGAAGCGTGCTGCCTGCGATAGCGAGACAGAACTAACGGTCCGGGAGCTCCAAGCAGCGGCGCGGATACCCGCCGCGACCCCGAGTCCCACTCCCAGGCCGGCCGGCGCAGGCCTCTGCTCAGAGTTGGGCTGCAGTTAGAAGCCTCTCCCTGGATGAGGCCAGTGGGCAGCTCTAATTTAATCAAAGGCCCTAAGGGGCTCATGAATACCTGGCCTCTGGTTGCTGTGCATCCGGCATGAATCATGCTAATGCCACAGTCCTTTTTGAAAGATGACGGGCTGACTTCTGAGGGGTTGGGGAGTAGGCAACCATTTGAGTATTTCACTACTTAATGGGGTCTTCAAGGATGCCTATAGATCTTTTCCTTTCCACTCTGAATATTCAGTAAAATATGTGAGCATTTTAAGGCACTGTAGAACTATGGAACTTTGATCTGTTTCAGTTTCTATACTCATTTATTCTCTAAACAGTATTAAACAATTATAGCTTGTATTAGGTGAAATGAAGACAGCAAGCAAGAGGCTGGGTTAGAGAGTCATGTCTGTGGAGTAGTGTGGAGATGACTTTCAGGAGGTAACCTTTCAGCTGTTATCTGAATGGGAATGGAAGGGCTGCACCGTGTACCAGGCAGAGGCAACAAGACAGGCTAGAGCGATCTGTGTGGGAATAGTAGCCTGGATGGGGCATCATGATCAGTGCAAGGGGCAGCGGACTTGAGGCGAAGTTGACAAGAAACTAAGGCTTGACCCTTCAGTGCCTTGCAGGCCATGTGTAAGAGAGTTTGGATTTTCTTTCAAATGCTGAGGGAAGTGAAGGGTTTTAAGTGGTAGGGTGGCATGGTCTGATTTACCAAGGAAATGGCAGGAGAAAGGCTCTATTCCAATGATCACTGCCACTGTGGGTAAGTCAGCTTTACGGTATCAGTGACTAAGGCCTTTATATGTCACCTTCCTTACAGGAGACCAGCAATATAGCTGGTATCGAGCATGTCAACTGCTTTGGACTCCCCTTTTGTCACAGACAGGTCAACAGTTTGCCTCATTATAGTATTTCCTCATTTTGGAATTGGGTTTGATTTTACTGCAGGCACCATTCTCTATAGGGAAGGAAATGGCAGCCCACTCCAGTGTTCTTGCCTGGAAAGTCTCATGGACGGAGGAGCCTGGTGGGCTACAGTCCATGGGGTTGCAAACACCTGGACCTGGGCAGTTGTTTAGTTAGGACTAAACAACAATGACCATTCTCCATAGACTTGTTGAATGCTTTAGCTGAAACACCATTCTACTGACCAAGGAGTTCATTTCAAGATGAAAGAAGATAATGAGATAAAGCCCATGGGCTTCACTAGTCTTACCATGTGCTCCATTTCCATTAGTCAAGATCTAGGTGAGGCTATAATATTGTTTATTATCCAGGTGCCAGGAAAAGTGAGAATATACAATATATGTCCCAAACCAAGACTCTTTTCTTAATATATATTTTTTATTTATTTATTTTAATTGATGGCTAATTACTTTACAATATTGTGGTGGTTTTTGCCGTACATTGACACGAATCAGTCATGGGTGTATATGTGTCCCCCATCCTGAACCCCCCTCCCACCTCCCTCCCCATCCCATCCCTCTGGGTCATCCCAATGCACCAGCCCTGAGCACCCTGTCTCATGCATCCAACCTGGACTGGTGATCTGTTTCACATATAATATACTTGTTTCAATGCTATTCTCACAAATCATCCCACCCTCACCTTCTCCCACAGAGTCCAAAAGTCTGTTCTTTACATCTGTGTCTCTTTTGTTGTCTTGCATATAGGGTCATTGTTACCATCTTTCTAAATTCCACATATATGTGTCAATATACTGTATTGATGTTTTTCTTTCTGACTCACTTTGCTCTGTATAATAGGCTCCAGTTTCATCCACCTCATTAGAACTGACTCAAATGCATTCTTTTTAATAGCTGAGTAATATTCCATTATGCATACATACCACAGCTTTCTTATCTATTTGTCTGCCGATGGACATCTAGGTTGCTCCGATGTCCTGGCTATTGTAAACAGTGCTGCGATGAACATTGGGGTACACATGTCTCTTTCAGTTCTGGTTTCCTTGGTGTGTATGCCCAGCAGTGGCATTGCTGGGTCATATGGCAGTTCTATTTCCAGTTTTTTAAAGAATCTCCACACTGTTCTCCATAGCGGCTGTACTAGTTTGCATTCCCACCAACGGTGTAAGAGGGTTCCTTTTTATCCACACCCTCTCCAGCATTTATTGTTTGTAGACTTTTTGATAGCAGCCATTCTGACCGGCGTAAGATGGTACCTCATTGTGCCAAACCAAGACTCTTGATTAATACAGAAATTGACATTTAAGTTGGTAAAACAGTAAGCTTTATAAGTTGTATAAATGCTGCTTAAAATGTGATATAAAGGCAAAAGCCCATCAGTAAAATGTACTGATCAGCAATGAAATAGGTATAGAAATCAAGAGGAACATTTTGAAACTTTCAGTAATCTGACATTACTGTTACATCTAAACATGCAACTTTGTGTTTATAGAAACATTCCTGTTGGGTTGGTAACAAATCTGATCATTTACCATAGTTATGCCCATTAAGGCTCCAGTTTTATGAACTTGGCTAAAAGAAAAAAATCAGGCTACTGGAATATGTTGACTTACCTCCTTTAGGGCTTTGATATAGAAAAAGTCTTCAGCATAGCCTTTCTGAAGAGACAAGCAGTAGTGGAATGGTACTTAAACAGCATTGTTAACAGGAGTCCTTTCTGCCAGAGGTTTAGTTATCCTACACTAGTAGAGATCAGATGATATCTACTCTGCCAATTGAAGCAATGAAAATTTCTGCCCCATGTGAAGTTAACACACTAACTATGAATACAGTGACCAAGCAGAGCAGTGGTGTCAAGGATCCTCATTTCTCAGGATTCTTCTTGAATATCTCCTGTTATACACTCTGTACCCCAGTTGAAAGAGTAATTCCTCCCAGTTTGCCAGTTAAGTAGTGTGCAACGTAAGGGACAGAGTCTGATACTGTAACCTGATTTTATGATGCCAGCTGTTCCCTCCCTCTGTGCTCAGATAGCGTCTGTGGCAAAGACAGTGAATGGAGATCTAGGGAGATTGATGGAGTTGCCAGGTCAGTTTCCAAGAGCTAGAAACAGGAAGGGCAGAGTCCATATTCAAAGCTTATGTCTCAATGAGATTTCTGATAACAAACTAATGGATTTCCCCCAAGTGACATTGACTGGCAGCCAAGTAAGTTTGAAGGTGTTGCCAGAAAGTCCTCAGCCTGGCAAAAGGCATCTACCAACCAGTGTACTGTCTCAAAGACAATGTCCCATTCTCCGTCTCTAGAGGAAGATGAATTCAATTGCTGAGGCAGCCCCAGAAGATTCCTTCCTACCACTCCTTGAAGGCAGGGTCTTTGAGGGTAATAGATAGAAGAATCTGGGCACTTTGATAGCCTCACCAAGATCTCAGTTCTCTGCTTGTTACTCTTGTCCAACAGGATGTGATGTGATCTCACCACCATGACACGCTGTGTCTCCTTTTTGTCCTTTCTCATTAGTTTTTGTTATCCCACACCCACCTCCTTTATTGTGTACTTGTGTGTTGGGGGAAATTTACTATTCATCAGTTAGCTACATCTGGACCTGTTAAGACTAACTACATCCAAAAACTCTGAATTTGTGCTGGATATGACTTTGAGTTTTCTTCTCCCACAGGGTAGGAATTGAGTACATTTTCAATTTCTTATGAGATTATCACTTTATGTCAGGAGAAACCATAAATATGGAGAAAACTCTGTGTGTATGTGTGTGTGTGTGTTGTGCA